ATTATGCGGTACTCATTCTGCATAAACTCTAGTTACTATGCAATCAACAAAAGCAAATGTAACGTTACGCAAACTTTCATTACTATGAGTGCATATGGCATATATTACACTTGTGCAATCTGTTATCTAACACGAATAAACCATGACCGCTACTACTCATGAAGAAAACCGTTTCTTTATAGTTGAAAAGAACGATAAAGAATGTGCCTGCGTTTAATATCAACGATATGATTAACATTTCTTTCCCACATCAATTTCGATTTAGAATTTCTATTGGAATCTGAGCAAGAATCTTTCAAATCCAGTATGATCAAACAAGCGCTAAAGGTTTAATGGTAGACCGGATAACTAGCAATAACTGATACTGTGATAGGTTAAGATAGCTTTCATTATCAATTATAGCGGAGGAAAATAATCTTTAATCTACCATATCAATATTTTGACTACAGAGTTAAACCGTGACTACATATTTTAGTATGAATATTCTATTTCGTACCATAATAGAGTCTACATTCTATAACACTAAAAATACCTCCGTGACCACTTACTGGCATATTAAAAAAATTAAAAGTAGGATGGATTTATCCACCAAGGATTCAATGGCTTTGTTTCCATCATGCAGACATGCAGGCGTCATGTTTCTCCATTAAGCAGAAATTAAACAAAAGGAAAATACTACCTACTGAGGTAATTAATGATGTCGGACAGCTTTCAAATTTGACGATTATAGCACAAGCAGGAAGCCAATCAAGTGGATGACGAACCTCTAAATGTAGATTTCTTCCGCATGTAAATTATTTGTAGCCATACTACTGCTTTATCTTTCGTATAATCGTATGCAATCGAACTGACTTGAACCTTTTTCATTTCTCTTTCCAATGGAATAAAACCCAATTAGATGAGATCCAATTTAATTTTTCCAATCTAACTTATATTCACCGAAGACGTTTTAGGTAGACAGATTGATAAACGTTTTTTCTATGTATAATTACTACACAATAAAATAATAATAGTTGTAGTAAATGAATAATATGGCAAAATTTTAATGATCCTCTTGTTTTATAGAGACATTTAAATTCGTTATAGCCCATATAACTTGATCACTCATCATCGGTTTTAGCGGTAGAATTCTACAGAGCTATCCTCTTTCGAATATCAACGATTGTGCTATAGATTGAGCAGCAGGATTGCAATTGAGTCATTTTCACCATTTCTGACATCGGTGAAATTTGTTGCCGTCATTAGCTTGCCTTAATTTTGTTTCTTTATCTAGTTATGACTCATTGCAACTATGTCAAATTCAGAATTAGGAAGCGCGAATTTCAATATAATTCGATTCATAGTGAATGTTTTCATGATGAATGTCTTGTCGACAGCAGGAGTCTCATTTTCTGAGAAGCTCAGAATTAATTGTCCTCCTATTTAGCCTTTGTTTCTTGCTGATCGACTGCGGCGCTATGCAAAACTACAGCCGATTGACAACGATAGAAGGAAGGATATCTTCACAGCTTGGCTATTTCATTATGCTTGGGTGTTTCAATCTCCTTTATAATACTAAATGAGTCATACGATCAGCGAAGGACAGAGTTCGAAATAGTAATTACTATCAACCTTTAATTTATTATTGATTAACTTGCCGCTAATAAACTGTCATTGCTTAGCGGGCATTTGTTACTCGACGAATAGATTATAGTAATATAGCAGAAACGCCTTCATCAACGGCAGCAGAGAAGAATGGGCCACCGGTACTGTACGAAAGTCCGAGTGATTTTACCTGTTATAACGAGAAAATAGTAAAAAAAGTGAAAAATGTTTTTAAGCGTATTTAGGCGCTATTTTTTTGCCGCTATTGAAAGGGATCAAGATTTGACTGGATACATAATGTGTCGTAATCATTCGACAGATATCCGAAAAGCTGCTAATTAGTTTTATTACAGTAAGATCAAACAACAAAACTGCTGTAAGGCAGTTTAATAGAAATACTTCCATGAGTATGAAATATTGTAGTATATACGTCAAAACTGAGTAGAAATACTTCATCAATAGCTAGATACAATAATTAAATGCCAATGTACTACTCTCTTCCACCCGCATTTGATGCAATTAACCGATAGTAATCTTACTTTGCTTCTACCGTAGTTTCTTAATACTTATGCATCGAATAAGGCAAAAGCACAAAGTTAACTCGGCAAATACTTTACGTCTGTCTTAGATCTCTTTCTAGCTAGCTTGTGATACTAGTACAATTATTATTATATAAAGTATAACATCTATTCGCCTTATGTTCTGAAGGCCATAGCCACTTCAAAAAGCTGAAGAATCCGTCAAATTGTGCACTAGGGGAAAGTGTGCTACAAATGATTATGTAATAAACTTTTCTTCATATTATCACAGCGGCAAAGAAGAAATTCAGGATAGGGATGGTGCAAAGATAGGATGTAATTCTATAGACGAAAAGAATAACTTTCTCTATTTCCATATGAGGCTGTCAGCTTAAAGGAAGTGTAACTGAATTTTAATCAACACTACTAAGCGATAATATCAAAACACTAATTATCCCATTAGATATACGTCTCTTAAACTCTTCACTGTTATGTATTACACCTTTGTAATTATCTCAAGTAAAGTTACGGAAGCATCTATAGTTAATAATCTTTAATGATGGGACGAAGTGCTTATGACAACAACAATGAATAGTATCATTAATTAATTTGCCCAATAATCACCTAAGATCATTGCTATTACAAAGATTAATCTTCCATACTACGCTCCAATTTCGATCATTAGCGTAATAGCTATCATCTTCGCAGTAATCGTACCTCATTATTATATAATCATATATGCATCACACAATAGTCGACCTAATAGTAGGGCCATTACTGTATTCATTTTATCATAATGTTAAAATAAATTTGGGTTCGTTAACGTTAATCATTGCTTTCTGCAGCTTATGTATAAATCACCAGCAGCTTTCGAGTCTACAAGATACTGCAAATTTGCATATTTAAAATTAAATAATTGCATATTAAGGTTAGATAGGCTATTATACTTACACACTGCCTCAATCATAACAAGCAGAATGCATGATTACTTTGTAATTTCCATGCATAAATTTCCTTACAACTAACGCATTTAAAATTTATAGAGTATAGAAAGAGTGATTAAATCGCCTCTTAGTCGCATCATAGTAAACCTATGCAAGAAGTTAAAAAACATCGAGGTAGGGTAAAGCTTTTGAGAATATTAGCAGTCCTTTGGCCCATAAAAATAATCACATTCCTATTCAAGAATAACTAACGAACCTGATTTAAGTCTAGCGTTCGGTAATCAACAGCACTTTTAGTTGTGTGGAAACCTGAGACTGTAAAAATATTAATCAATCAAATAAATTATCATGATGATAAAATTATAATTGGCCGTGTTAGAATGACATATCGATAAAAATACAGATATGAGTATTATCTAATTAAATAGCGATAACCGACTCTATCAAGCCAATTTAATTAGTGCTGAAGGATAGAAAAAATTTCCTTATTAAATTTATGAAATTCCTTGACGAGCATTAAATCTCGAAATTTTTCTATTATAATGACAAGTCGCTAAACTTTATCTAAATAAATTAAATAATCCAATCGAAACATATAGTACGGATAAGGGTCTTAATAATCATCTCGGCAGATTATAGGAAGCTAATAATTGCGAGATTATAATTTCATCATTGGATAAAATCAATACATTAAGTTAGCACGCTAAGAATCTTCATAAGACTGTGTAATTATTACTACGTTTTGATATAGAAAACGTGCTTGTAAAACCAAGAACTATCGAAATATCAGCTTATGTTGGCTGATAATATCACTCCCTAAGTAGATTTCATGCATGGTAAAAGCAAAGCTTGCTTATAGTTGGTAATGGCAGACAAATTAGAATGCCTAAATGACATGCTTTTATTTTCATTGTAAATTTAAGCATAAAGTGCAGAATAAACAAATTTAATCGATGCAAGCTGCAGTAATCAATTAAGATTTACCCATTAGCTTTTACAGGTTGTAATTATGCAGCGTCAAAAATTCTGATCACCTTACTTACAATTTAGATATATCGTTGTAGTATTCAATATTAAACAACCGTTTAGGATAATATATATGTATATATATATATGTATGTATATCAGAGCAAATCAACACTAGTACATTCCAGCAAACCTTACAATACGTTTCCAACAATCGTGTAAATAAACATAATTCAAAATTAAAAAGTTCGATTATTTGCAGATAACCCGCGTTAAAATGTGGAATTAGTGTTGTCAAACAAAGCATTTTCTCTTCTATTCTGCAATACCATGCGCATTTGCAGTGAACGAGAACGATAATAATTGTTGATGTTAACTCTCCTTAGATTTACAAGATGTAATTCAATGATGATAGTTAAGAATTGGACATAAAAAGTTCAATGTTAAGAAAAATTAATGAGTGCCTTATGTTGGCGCTTTCACGAATTGATGAAGTAACCAAACAATTTGCGGTAATATCATCGTCCTTGCGAATAGGATAAAATAGAAAAGGGGAAAGCATGGCCGATCTGAGTGTAAGTACACATCATTAATAAATCAGGTTTAATTCATATAGATCTATCTCTCTCTCTATAGATGTATGTTTGTATAATAATAATAATAATAATTAGTTAATTAGCGATTTAATTACGATTAATAAAAGTGTTTGAAAATGATGGATTGAATGACAACATAAGTAATGAAGAGTTTCGATCACTAGGTTGGAGTTAGTTAATTACGATACACGGTGTATCTTCATCATTGATAACAGTATTTATCATTGATGTTATCAGTAATCTTATATTTATTTCAATTAATAGGACAACTTTGCAGGGAGAATAACTAGGATACGACTTCAATAACAAGACCAATATTCAACGTTTCTTTTCAGTTATTAATCCCATAGTAAATACTTTAATATCATGGCTGGATCAGTTTTTTTAATTTTATAAATTTGTCATAGCTAAACGACCTGTCAATGCCTTGCTACATTTAGCGTGGATTTATAATTTAATTGGGAAAGAGTTGATGTTGAGAAGCTTGGAGTGATTCCACAGCTTGCGATGGAATACTATGGATGACGGAAGGATTATGCATATACCAGGGTTGGGCTGCAGCTTGTGCGTGAGCAATAGACGGAAAACTACTATTATGATGTGATTGAATATTCCACGATTGATTTTGCATTAATTGATTGGACAAAGAATGAGATGACGGATAACCGCGGCCTCCAGTTGATTTTTTCAGCTTAGATCGCCTATTTTGAAACCATATTTTGACTTGAGTTTGTGTTAGGCCAAGTGAAGCAGCTAAATCTGCTCGTTCTGGTAATCCCAAATAATGCGATAGACGAAATCGGTTATTTAATTCGTTTAATTGTGCACTGGTAAAGATGGTGCGGGGTTTACGATTCTTTTTTCCTTTATTATTTCTTGGTTTATGATTGCCTGTTTTCTCTGAAATTGAAAAAGGAATAAAATTTGTTAATCTTCAGAAATACTGATTCAATGGTTGTAGCGCTGCTTTCCATACCAATTTGTAATTTTACCTCTGGTTGAGCTAAAGCACTTACTGTAAAACTGCGTATAGTAGAATAAAATTATTACTTTATACCATTGCTTCCTACGCTAAATTATAATCTGTTTTTTTATAGTAATGCGGTTAAAACTGAAATCATTTATATTAGATAAACATCAATCTTTATTTTGTATTATTTCTTTGCAATCTAAATTATAATTTGTATCTGAAGTGATGTGATTAAAAATATTTAAATTGTATCTATTAAAAGTAAGATCTATTTGGAACTACTAGGCTTTCTCTTTAGCCTAAATTACGGCTATAATTCAAGCTTGATCTTTATAAAATCGACATGTTTTATTTGTTTTTTATATATAGCATGAGAATATTACTAGACGCATATTGAACAAAATATTTTTCAAAATCGAAAATTCAATAGTGTAAAAATCCGCTAAAAATATCGTCTAAGCGCGATGCTCCAATTATAATCTTCTTAAAATTGGCATATTCAAAATATATATTCTTAGCTTCATTAAATATACAGATACGTACCTTGCGAATGATGATGTCCATTACTGCTGTTGCTGCTTGTACTATTGGTCCCATTCGCGTGGCTGCTAGTATTATTACTAGCAAGACTACTACTGCTACTGTTATTACCACCGCTGTTATTTCCAACAGTAACACTATTTGCTAATTGATTTGATATGGATGAATAAGGACCGCTTGAATTGCTAACATATGGAGTAACTGCTAGCGGCGTATTAGCCATTACCGATTTAGCAGCATTGGAATAAGAAGAAAGGTAAGAATGATTTGATTGCATTGGCGTTTGTTGATTAAAATCAAATCGATGATTTGGTGTATAGTGAGAAGAAAAGAGAGACTCCATTTTTGAATTTTGATTAGTAACCGGGTGGAAACATGGCATTGGTGGATAAAGTGATGGTTGTTTAACTTCAACGAAAGCAGATTTGGAAGCTGGATCCATGTGTTATAAATTTTCAGTTACTTAAGATTGACGCCAAAGGATCAAAAGTAAATATTTGGTTATTCACGTCAAGAGCTGTGGCTACTTGCTTAATCTGTAATTCTGTTGTTGACAAATGAAAAATATAAATGGATTAGTTGTAAACAAATCCTAAAAACAACATCAATAGATCTAGACTTTTACATTAATTGACTATAAATTAACCAGTGAAATAGAGGATAAAGCTTGTTGATAATACCAATAAAGCTATCTCAAAGAGAGTGTAGTTTCGAAGAATAAAACATAGAATGATAATTTGTATTCAATATTTTAATAAAACATTTTTGGCGCAACTAGGTAACGAACTTTTCGTATGAGAATATCATTATTTACGGTTAAAACTGCTCTAAATAACTAATTTAAGTGAAAGTAATCTTCACGCTAACAAAGTCACTTGATGATGAATTATCATCGAGAAAGCAGGGAATCAATATTCCATCCCATCGATACATAAAAATAAATTTCCAATCACTCTCATCAATCTAAGCAATATGTCACCATAAATTCTTCGATCTTTCTTCTTAATTATTTAAAAAAGTATGGAAGTAAATTTCTTAACCTTAATCCCTAGCCCCAGTAGGTAAGAGCAGCGCAATAGCAAAAACTCTTAACAGTAATTGTAACAGAAATTTACTCCATGAAGGAAACTAATAATTTAATCGATCAATACTAATAACTAAATAAATGTAACCTTTATGATAAAATATATTAATACGCTATTAAATTTAGCTGGATCACAGACGCAAATAATTATTGAAATTGTATCATTTTCCGTAATGGTTATTTTATAAGAATATCAAGTAGATTGTCAAGATAGAATAATGATAATATAGACGTAAAATGATTCAGAATCTAGCCTATTTACATGTCGAAAAAATGAAGGGAAATTGATACCAGTGGCTAAGAGTTGAGGATAGTAAGATAAAAGAGAAATAAATTTAAACAGGAAGAAGAAGGACAGGCTGAATGATAGGCTGGCAGACTGATAATGTTGCTGATGTAATTCTTTATTAATTGAAATGGAATGGATAACTAACAAGCAGATTAATTAGGGCAAAGGCTAATGGGGGAGGGCATTTAGAAATATCTTTTGTATCGTCCGGACATAACCAAGACAATAAAATGTAAGCCTATATAACATCTTAAAATCAAAGTAGACGACTATAGGGAGACAAACTAAAGAAAATTAAATTAGCAGCATAAGACATAGATGAATCAGATCATTGCATCTATCCTAAGATTGCCTAACTACATCTAAATCTAAGGTTAAAACGGCCTTCTGAGCAAGATCGACGCTAACTAGCTAGGATCATTTCAATGGGGTATAATTAACTGCGATCCTGTAATACGATCAACGATTTGATAGACTGTTAATTAATAATGTTACACAATTTTGGCGACAAACTATCCATACAATATGATTGAATAATTGTGTGGTTAGTATGAAATAGATTGTTATTTTACAGACGTTAACTGAGGCGCATTTCAAACGAGAAACAATATGAAGTCGGTTTACTATTTTACATGTTAGATCCCCTGCCTAGTATAAGTCTTCTTTGATCTGTCGACACCGCTCAAGGTGTTTATGAACTCCAACTCCATGGTATCCGCATAGAAGCCATCTGTTAACGGTTGACTACACTAAATTAGTCTTTTTTATTTCTATTTGATCTTTCAGGGAAAAAAATGCTGGCAAACATTAAAGGAAATTATAGTAAAATATATAAAAAGATGATAGATGATAAAATTGGAACATCCATGTCCATCAGAGTCTATTTATCTTCCGTTAGATCAAGAATACGGAAGGAGGGAGGGGTTAGATATACGAATTATATGTACAGTCCATGGTAGGTAAAAGGATGATGAGATGATAGTAGGATTGTGAAATGGGATCGAGATTATAGTAATAGTGTGGATGAGTATTTATCCGTATATACGCGTACATAAGTCCTAAATCATCGCCTTAACTTTCCATTCTTAATCGACTATTTAATGTTAAGAAGTATTTTAGACACCAAGCTAATTTTCATAGTATCTTGATTAAAATAAAACAATTTACTAGTTAAACGGAAAGGAATATACTACCGGCGGAAGAGGAAATGACGTTATAGCCAGCCAACGTTGATTCATATGGTTACTCTTCTATTGGGAGCTAATATTTAGATGATAATCTTGAAATGATAATTTTTTAATCGACTAATCACTAGCTATAATTATGAGAATATATTGAAATTAAGAACGTCATAACAAGGCCGATAATCAAACTGATCAATTGAAAGGGTAGAGTAGATATATGATGATGATGATTAATTACTAAAATCTATACTAACAAAAAATGTAATTTACGGTAGTTGAGTTTACCATAAGTAAATTATAAAATATCAATCTTAGACTTGTACCTCTAAATTATTCGAACTATAAAGGCTAGAAAAATATCCTATGGATGGCGTTGATGTTCCTATCATTGCCTACTATTGAATCGACGCAACCATGATTAATTTTACTGTTCTATTCTATGCTGTGAATATTAATACACTATATTTATTTATGATATCGTATATGCTGCGTTAAGCCATCCATCCCTTACGGATTAGTCGAGTAATTGTTACAGCAGGAGGCTAACAGTGGGATAGAATCTATTCAGATTGATGGGAATTGTTCCTCTGTAGCGTTGATTGTTTCATTTATTGTCGTTCTAAAGACAGGGTCAAGATCATCATCTAAACTGCAATGATTATAATTGTAATTTTTCTGATACTAGTAACTAGTATTTTCTACTTTATTAACCAGTTGGTAATTAGAGAAGAGATTAAACTAACACTCATTGATAATAGTCATGCTGGAGTAGAATGTCTTTCACACTATTTAGGATACTGCTGCTGAAATAGTAATACGCATGTTGTAAACAGTTTACCGCTAAAACTATAGGTAACTAACACTAATAGTAAACTACAATATTTATTATTTTGATAGCATTATCTTAAGAAAAACAGGTCTAATCGAATCTTGACAGATTTCACGAAATGGCAATGCACCTGATATCATTATTCATACTCTAAACGTCATATCTAGAGCATATCGTATCGCAAATACAACGGACTGTAAATCTAGATTACTGACAAAGATAAAAATTTTAATTTGCAAATCTAGACTACCGTTATGATTATACCGGTTGTATTTTTAAACTATAATGCGTCAAAATAAACTTTAGCCTATAAATATAAGTATAGATTGCTGATGTATAGTAGTTCGGCCAGCATTATTTTGTAGACCGTAGAACGTGATATAAACTTCGGCCATTATATAGAAATCACATCCATTATTCTTTGCGTAAATTATTCCGTTTACTAAAAAAAGCAGAATGGAATATTGCAGATTTTATTATGCTAACCAATAGAAACCAGCGCATTTCAATTCGGATCCACACGATTGCGTTGAATAGCACTGATGTTGTTTAGAATAAAATACAACTCTAAGTTAGGGTCCTTCCTATCTATAATGTCGTCAAATTTATATGAGTTGGCCCAATTATGACCTAGCAACTGGTAATCATACTTTACTCTCGCCAACTAGGTGTAATAAGTAGCGCAATTTTGTCAACTTTCTGCATTATAGACTATTGCATACGTAAACTATATGGGATCATCGCCAAGTCTGGATCTTCTATGCCATATGTATACTATCTTGATGCGAATTTCAAGATGCGTTATCATAATTTTCACTCTACATTAGCGATGAAAAGGCACGAAAGTAATTCAGAGTGTATAAGATTGCAATTACTGTGGATAGAACAAGTTCAATTCTATAAGAATGGATGAATCCCTAAGATTAAGGCTTAGTTGATTGTAAAATACACTCAATCCAATCGTAACCTTAGGCGTATTTTTTGGGCAACAAGAAGAAAGCGGCAATCATCAACAAGAAATACTCCTTTTTCGTGGATAATAATTAGATCCGATGGCCTTTAATTAATGTATCCGAAATGCGTTATTTACTGCGCTGGTATGTGTTTGCAATAATTATAGAAGTTGCAATAATAAAATTTCCCTTACGCCATAAGAAAATGGTCATCTAATGATGTATCTAACTAAGGAATTTTCTCTACTTTTACCTATAGTAGTCTATAGGAGGAAACGATCTCTCCTCCGCAACTGGTATCAATTTCTCCTTTTAATCTTTGCGATAGTAAATCATGGTTGTATGGTTTTGGTTGAACAATCTTTATAAAAATGATTCTTTATAAATGATAGAATTATCACTAACTCTCAAATCAAGAACAGGTTAACTTTTTGCATGTTCTAAGAATGATGATTAATAGCGTCGTCAACGGTTGCTTGTATTGTAGCAGCAAAGTAAATGAGGTAAAATCAACTCATTGTCTGTAAAGACTAAGTGAAGATAAAACAAGACGATAATTCGTGTTGATGAGGAAAATACGCATTTCTTAGGGCAATCAAAAAGATGTGATAGGATAAAATATCATTAATTCACTATTACTAACTATAATCTCATGTGTAGCAATATGATAACTCATTTCTATCACAGAATGGACCATCAAGATGGAAATAAAATGCCTCTTACCTGAAGGATAACGTTAAGAAAATTTGGCTGGATTTGGTCCTTGGCTAGGTCTAGATCAATTAGAGATGGAGAGTTTTGCTCGATGTACAGCTAGATGATCAAATGGCTGGCTTTGAATTAACCGTAAGGTAATATAATTAGTCGGGCGGTGAAAGAATTGAATGTTGCATGCAATGTCCTAGCTATTGTGACATGTTCATCTCTTGTGTTGTATTGAATTGTTCTCGTTAGACATTATTAATAAAGAGGAAGCTCTGGGAAACAACGCCAGAATTGATGAATTAACAGTCAGGTGCTGTCTCAACACCCACCTTATGCCCCAACTGTCACTTAGCTTCCATCAGAATAGCATTAACTTGTCATTACATTTTCTGTTGTAT